TGATAATTTGTTAACAATTTTTTTTGTTTATATCGTGACTTACAAACCTATACTTCTTTACCGTAAAATTAACCATTATTTCCTTATTTGGTTATATAATAGGTTGGTTTGGCATTTTTAACAATGTTTTTAAGTCGTGCTGAAATTTTAAAACAAGGAGGTGGTGCCATGCAAGGATTGCCACCACCAGAAGAACTAGAGATGATACAATGGTGGGTTCAGATTAAATTTATGTTTAAATTTTATAAATCTTGATTAATTTAAGATTAATTATTCATCGTTTACTTTGTTTAGGCAAGAATTATATAATCGATTATTCAGTATCCTGAAAACTCATTTTATATCACTATACCCACCATTCATGATTGGAATTGATGATATGTATGTGTGGCAGTTTCTTGCTGCAATGGCTGTTGGTGCATCCACGGATCAACAACATACTCTGGTTACTGAAGTGAGGTATGTTTATTTAATTTATTAATACTTGGATATTTGAATATTACATTGTATTCCTGTTTAATTTGTAATAATATACATATTTTTTCCTAAATAAAAGGGAAAGAGTACTTGAAACCGTTATACAAGCTTCAAGGTTACCAACAGACAAAGCATCTCATAAAATTGCCAATGTGAACTTATTCTTGAATGCATTGGGGCTTGACGCGTCACAACTTAAAGTTTAAATCACACTTGTCATAGATTATAATAAGATTAAAAATCACGGGCAAGAAAAAAATAATCATAATGTTTCACATAAAAGTTTGATGTAACATAATAAAAATCAAGCAAAAAAGATGAATTTGAACTACTAGTTTTGTATGTAATGACATATATATACAAATTGCAAATAACAAAAATTGGGCTTGTGAGACACATTTACAATGGCATGATTTTTTGTACAAATAACTGCAAGTCGAATGACATAATTGTGTCTCACAACGTGCCAACGGACTGGATTTTCAGAATAATATTTATAATATTACTTTATCGGTACGAGAACGTTAAACCAATTTTAAACAATTATGTAAGTTCTAAATTCCACCGGCGTTTTTTAAAGCATAAATTTGATTACATTGCACATATTTATTTGCCTTTTTATGGGTATGTGATAAGTGATAATCATAATTGATAAATTGATGAATCAGATATCTGTCCCTCAAAATAATCAGCTATGATAAAAATTCTTCAATTTATTTACTATACTTTATATCATCGCCAAATTATAAACCTTGTATACGTTCTTGTAAACATTTTCTTAAATAACATAATCCTTTGGGATGTCAGTAAGTATGAAACAATGTTCATATTATTTAACAGAGTTAATAATCACAGAGTATGACCTTTCTTTTTATTTAACTCAGAACTTTGAAGAAGAATACAGTCTTCATACTAATCCTCATGATATAGGGTATGTTGAATATTTGAAAAAATAATGGCATATAATAAACTTAAAAATTACATCTCGACAGGAATGGAGAAGAACTACCTGAAGATCCCATTCAAGATCATCGGCCACGATTATTAATAATGGGGCAGAGGAGGTGGGTAAGATAGACTCCAAAAGATCATTGTTTCAATCTTTGAAATATGTTAACAGAATAGCAACTAGTTTTGTTTTATTATAATTTAGAAGTGGAAAATCTAGCATCCAAAAAGTTGTATTTCATAAAATGCCAGCAAACGAAACATTGTTTCTTGAAGCAACTAACAAAATAGTCAAAGAAGTTATCACGTAAATTTTAATAAAAATTTTTATTTTTTTCTATTTTTTTTATTTTTTTTTTTTTTTTTTTTTTTTTTTTTTTTTTTTTTTTTTAATTTTTTTTTTTTTTAAACCAATCATAATAAATAATTAAGTAAAATATTTAAATAGTATATTAAACTATTTTTTAATAGGTCATTCATTGATTTTCAAGTTTGGGACTTTCCAGGCCAAATTAATTATTTCGACGCACCATATGATGCAAATATGATATTTGGAGATTATGGGGCATTAATTTTTGTTATCGACGCCCAAGTAAGTTTCAAGTTTTGACTTGTTAAAAAATCATTAATTAAGCACAATTACCTAATCCGTGACAAAAAGTGAATGTTTATGAAAAAAAAAAAAAATTAGGACGATTATATTGAAGCTTTAAATCGTCTTCATCATACTGTAACACGAGCATATAAAGTCAACCCTGAACTTTCTTTCGAAGTGTTTATACACAAAGTAGATGCGTTGTCTGACGAATACAAAATTGATACTCAACGCGATATTCAACAACGAATTACAGATGAATTGGCAGATCATGACTTGGAACATGTTCATTTAAACTTTTATTTAACCAGTATTTACGATCATTCAATTTTTGAAGCATTTAGCAAAGTAATTCAAAAACTTATACCTCAATTGCCAACGTTAGAAAATTTATTGAATATCTTGTGCGCGGTAAATAATTCGTATAATTCGTAGTAAATATATATATATATATATATATATATATCCAATATTTGGTAGTGTCTTTTTAATTAATTATTATTTTTATAGAATTCCGGCATAGAAAAGGCTTTTTTGTTTGATGTTAATTCCAAGATTTACATAGCGACTGATAGTTCACCCGTAGACATGCAATCTTATGAAATTTGTAGTGACATGATTGATGTAATCGTTGATATATCCGAAATTTATGGGTATATATTTATTTTATTTTATTTATTTTTTTTTAAAAAAAAAAAGAGATGGCAAAATCGCATTTTCCAATTATAGCTCTACTGCTTATTAAATATTTATACAGTCGAACAAATTCATACCATATCAGCGATGAATCATATGACGATCAATCACAAGTTGATACCAACGGTTATTCTGGCAACTATGAAACTGCAAATGATGCATCATCATTGATTAAATTAAATAATGGAACGATATTGTGTCTCAGAGGAGTTAACAGGTAAAGTAACACTTAAAACTTTTACGACCAGGGACCGTTATCAATTATACCTGTTACTGATTGCGACATATTTTTTTATACACATACCTTATTTATTAAAACCAGATTTCTCGCGCTGGTTTGCCTTCTTCGGGCTGATAATTTTGAAAAGCACGGATTAATAGATTATAATTTTCAATGCTTTAAAGAAGCAATAGCAGAAGTGTTTGAACTGAAGCGTCGTAATGCAGAAAGAGCTAAACATGAAAGGATGGGATTAATAGAGAATGTAGATGATAACGTAGGAGGATAAAATGTAAGGTATTGTTTTAAGATAAAAATTCAATAATTCGTCTATTACCTTTATCAAAATTTATTGTGATTATTTAAGATAGCGGGATCTACGTATATTAATAAAAAATTTGGAAAAGATATTTATTGCAATCATGTACAGAGATATTCTTTGACTTTAAAGTAGTTGTCAATCATCCTTGATCATGAAGCCATTTATGTGCTTCCATTATTGAAAACCTACGTGATTCTAAATATACGAGTCCTTGAAGAAGACAATCTGCGAGATCATCTTTCTTTTTAGACTCAAGAAAATATTTGGTCAATTCATCAGGACACAGGTGTAGATGATCATTTATCCAATTTCGAGCCAATATCATTGATAATGTTTTTTTACCCAAACATTTTCGTATTTCTGTTTTTCTACCTTGTTCTTGAAACCATTTTTTCATATGATCTGAATGAGAGTATGAGTTTTGTTCTTCGGCCTTTAACATCGTGTTCAAATAATTCGAAACACTTAAAGGATGAATACTTTGTACTTGTAATGAGTTTTTAACTCTATCACTTAAAAGTGCAAATAACATTAATTCTATAGTAATAACACTTTGAACGTTCATAGAAATCCTTCTATAAAAACATTGGCGTTCAATGATGAAAGCATCAACATTTTCTTTCGACAAAAAGATTTTATGAACCATAGGTTGTAACTTTTCGAAAAAATGTTTGGGACCAAAATAGTCTAAATCCAACGATAATTTTTTCCATTCTATTATTTGGTAATTCGAAGTTAAATGAGCGTATGCAAAATTCTTAACACCGATATCGATAGATATAATTGATTTTGGTAAAAAAGTCTCAATTGTTGACTTATTAACTCGTCCATGATTTATAAATTTATTGTTCGATTCCAATTGTGCGTTTTGTTGATAAATTGTTACCAAATGTTGTGATAATAGTTTCGCAATTTCATTTTTGTTTAGTGACGTGAAGGATAAACCACATCGACGACATAATTTTTCTAGTTCGGACTTTAAATGTTGTTTCTGAAGACTTGTTTTTTCATCGATTTTATGATACGTAAGAACTTTGTATTTTAGATGAATTTCTTGAATATATTTTTTTACACCTACCGTTCGGCAAGGATTGTTAAATTTATATTTTTCATATTGCCGCGACTACGTATACAAGTCTTGGAAACACTGTCTGATTGTAGATCTGCGCGTGGCCATTAACCAATCATAATTTTCAAATCTATTTTTAAGTAACACATATGGGCGGATTTATTTGCTGATTGGTTGATTTATTTAAACATACTAGTAAAATTTGGTATTCGTAAAAATAACATCATATCGGGTGATTTATAGAATTAGCTAATAACTTTTGATCCACTAGTCTGTTTTAGATACTTTAATTAACAAAAATGTTTATTTTAGTGAGAGGATTCTAATAAACCTAAAATTGTTAAAATCCAATTACAGAATTCTTTTTTTTTTTTCTTTCAGCAATTCTGTTTACTTTATTATGGGAACAAACTTTCATTCCTACACAGCATAAGAAATCTAAATCTATAAGTGTTCCAACCAAAATGTAAACTTACTCACAGTGTACCTTGCAGATGCTGTAATATTCATTTGCAGTTAGGGTAAACCATTAAGCTGTTGTGTTTTGCTTAGATGTGACCTGCCTAGCGAACGATTGGCCTTCTCTAGAGATCCGGAACTCACTTCAGACTTATTTTTTCTGGATTTATCAGCTGGCTGTTGTATCATCCGTCAATATTCCCATTTTACAATAGAATGTTATCAAATTGATGATACTTTCTTATAAGAAAGGAAAAAAAAAAAAAAGTGATAATAGAAAATGAAAAAAGATGTAAAAAATAAAACTAATACATCAAAGAAAATGGATGCTAATACTAAGGAATATAAAAAAACTAAACTAAAACTTAAAAGAAACTATCGTTAAAAAGAAGAAAACCTGCTAATCAGGCAAAAACTTCTAATTATAC